ATTAAAAAAAAAGAAAATTTCCCTTTCGGATTATTTCATCACATTAGGGGATGAAGAGAAAAAAGAAAAAAAAAAAAAATAACATGAATGAAACAAATTTTTCTGAAAAACGTCCTTTCGCCATAATTTCTCAAGGCCATTGTCATCTTTGGACAACAAAACCTCGGCGAAGGTAAACAATAAATCGTCGGTCACCGCATCTCTTCGATCCACCAAATCACTCCGTTAGCCCGAACAAAAAAAAATATCCTCCATACAGCTATGTGCTCTTCGATCACCGATACCGATGAAGAGCTCTCTGTATCTCTCGGAGCTACCGTCCGACGGTGGACAAAAACAACAACATTTTTATCACCCTTTGACGAGCTCAACCGGAGATAAGCGCCGAAAAATTAAGTTTTACAACACACGCGCGCGCGTCTCCTTCGACCGATGCCCTCTTGGGACTCGATCGGCGATGAGAAAACACAAACAAATGACCATCCCCGGGAGATGACACTCGCCAACGCGTTGATCGGCTCTACAATTACATTTATGAAACTCCGACACTCTCGTGCGAAACTTACGATCGTGAGGTTTTATCTCGCCGATTTGGCTTACATGTGTATCATCGCACACGGCTATCTATCTCTTGGTAGCTTCTTCCTTTTTTTCCTCCACCCCATCGTCATCGATATCGCTCTCGTGTGTACCATCTCAAGAGGGACGGAACGAGCCTTCTCGAGTTTACCGATCGCCGTCTCGGGGAATGGATCGGCTCTTGCACCTGCGATAGGCGCGTTCGGGTGTTTTTACTTTTCGATCGGGGACTTTTTTTTTTTTTATTTCATGATGAGTGTCACGCGAGCTTTTGGCGCGCCTATGCTCAGGCGCTTCTCTCTGGGAGGAAGCAAGATTTTGCGCTGCGACAACTCGACTTTTTTAATCAACTCGTCGCGAGCGCTCAGTGTGAGTTTATTTATTTTTTTTTTTTTTTTCACTTGTGCTCTTACGCGTGTCACGTTGCGGTGTTGTGCTGCTCTTACGAGCGTCTTCTATAATTATCATCCGTGTATTTGTATTGTAAAAGTGAAATGGAGGGCGTTTTAAACAATTCTAAGGTGCCGCTGAATCGATGATGTTTGATTTTGACTGTTGCAACTTACCAAAATAACCAGGGGAATCAACTTTTAAATCCTGGATAACTTTTGGGTCCACTCCTGTGTGAGGAAATCCACAAAAAACAAATCATTTTTAGTCCCCAATTTAAAAAAGAAAAAATTTTTTTTTGAGGCACATCTTCGAGATAGGGCCCATTTACCTCGTAATGTCATGCACTGTGAGGAAAAAAATTTTGAACACGAGTTTCAGTGAGGGTGACATAGTACATGACACTACGAGTAAAATAACTTCCTCAAAAAAAAAACTTCCTTTTATTAAAATGGGGGGAGACAAAATCGGGATATTTTTTTTGGAATTTCCTCATATGTGAAATAACGGTCACAAAACAAATAAAACGTGTTGTTATTTCGTAAAATTTTTTTTTCATTAATTAATAAAATTTGTTTATTTGCACGATTACTTTAAATTATTATTGTTACAAAGAACACTGATTCAATTCTTACCGGTCCAGTGTTCGCGCGAACCAACAAAAATACATAATTTTACAAGTAAGTTTCAACTTCTCAATTGATTATCGATACACACCAGGAAACACGTAGATATCCAGTCATATTTTTAATCATAAAAGCGATAAACAATCGTACGTGATGTATTATTTTTTAAACGTTCAACCCAGGAAAATAGATCAAAGCACGATTAGAGAAAGCCGGAGGCACTTTTGAAAAATGTCCCCCTATCTCGGCCGCAAAACAACCACTGCGATCTTTATAAGCATCGCACTCGCGCGACGATAAAACAATAAGCAACGCCTCCGTGACAAGCGATAGATAGCGCACAGAGAGAGATTTTATATTCACTTTGTGGGCGATAACGATGTAATATTATGCGTGTCCCAATATATATATATTCGTTTGCAGACGCCCAAGGAAAAACAGCTGCTCAAGCGCTACGAGGTAAAACCAACCGAACAATAAAAAAAAAAAAAAAAAAAAAAAAAAAAAAAAGAAAAAAAAGTACCCAAAAAACACCCGTCCCTTTGGTTTTAGTCCAAGCTCCGGGGCAAAGTGATCGCCATCCGCAGGGAGGACCAATCGGTATGGGAGCGTCGCGCCCCCCTTGCCCCGGCCAACGTGCGCCGGCTGGTGCGCTCCGGCGTGAAGGTCATAGTCCAGCCGAGCAACCGGCGCTCTTACCCGGCGGGCAGCTACTTGGCGGCCGGCGCCTCCGTCCAGGAGGACATAAGCGGCGCGTCGGTGATATTCGGGGTGAAGCAGGTGCCGATCGACCAACTGATACCTAACAAGACGTACTGCTTCTTCTCGCACACGATCAAGGCCCAAGAGTCCAACATGCCCCTGCTCGACGCCATCGTCGACAAGAACATACGGCTGCTCGACTACGAGAAGCTCACCGACGACAACGGCCAAAGGCTCGTCGCTTTCGGCAAGTACGCCGGGGTCGCCGGTATGGTCAACATCCTCCACGGGCTCGGGCTGAGGCTCCTCGCCCTCGGACACCACACGCCCTTCATGGTGAGCCTATATCGTACATATAAAGGGTGTTGGTGTTTGGCAAATTTCGTGTTTCTGTGTAGCACATCGGGCCGGCGCACAACTACAGGAACTCGGGTATGGCCAGACAGGCGATACGGGACGCCGGGTACGAGATTGCGTTGGGTGCCATGCCGAGGTCGGTGGGTCCGTTGACCTTTGTATTTACGGGCAGCGGCAACGTGAGCCAGGGCGCCCAAGAGGTGTTCCAGGAGCTGCCGCACGAGTACGTGCCACCCGAGATGATGAGGAAGGTCGCCGAGCACGGAGGTACCATTATTTATTTATTTATTCTTTTTTTTCAACAATTTTATTTCATTCGTTTTGGTTTCGTGGATATAGACACGACAAAGATCTACGCGTGCGAGGTGCGTCGGAGGCACCACCTCGAGCGCAAGGAAGGCGGGGGTTTCGACGCGGAGGAGTACGACCAGCACCCCGAGCTCTACACGTCGACCTTCAGCAGGAAGATAGCGCCGTACGCGTCGGTCATCATAAACGGGATTTATTGGGCGGTTGACTCGCCAAAACTGCTCACCATACCCGACGCCAAGAACCTTCTCAGGCCGGCTTACACGCCTTGGCTGCCCATCAGCGTCGGGGCCCCGGCTTTGCCCCACCGGATGCTCGGCATCTGCGACATATCCGCCGATCCGGGCGGTAGTATCGAGTTAGTGTGCCATTCTCTATCTTATCCAGGGGGCCTTTTTTTCAAGCTATATAAATACGAGTCTGCGATCGGTAGTATATCGGTAATCTCGAAAAACCAACCGATCGTATGTTTTTGTTCCAACAACCATATTGGCTTGTACCTCATGGTGTCTTTTTTTGTTTTTTATATCATAAATCATCTATATTTAAAGTGTCCACGGTTAATAACTATTGCGATCGGTAATGTAATAATGCGTGTGCACAACAACTATTAGCTATTACACGTGGTAATTGTATATCGGATGGTATCGGTAATGTCGAAGGTTCATGAACGAGTGCACGACGATCGACACGCCCTTTTGCCTGTACGACGCGGATCGCAACAAGGACACAAAGTCGTTCAAAGGCCCGGGTGTGCTGGTATGCTCGATCGACAACATGCCCACCCAATTGCCCCGCGAGTCTACCGATTTCTTCGGCGACCTGTTGTTCCCGTACGCCGTCGACATCATACAATCGGACGCCCGCAAGCCCCTCGCCGAGCACACCTTCATACCGGCCGTGCACAACGCCATCATCGTCTCGAACGGCGAGCTCACCCCCAACTTCCAGTACATAAACGAGCTCAGGCAGCAAAACACCAACAGGAGCCGGCAAAAGGACCAAGGAAACGTCACCAAAAACCGGACCGTGAGTGTAATGTAAACCCAAATGAAAAAAATAAAAAAAAGGATGATCTCGGAGCGTCGTTCGTAAAACAGGTGGTGGTGCTCGGCGCCGGGTACGTGTCAGCCCCGCTGGTCGAGTACCTGCACCGCGACGAGAACCTGCGTATAATCGTCGGGTCGCAGTACAAGGAGGAGGCAGACGCCCTGGCCAACCGGTACCCCGGCCTCGAGCCCGTGTTCATCGACGCCCAAGCCAACCCCGAGGCCATGGACGAGCTCGTCGAGGTGGCCGACGTCGTCGTCTCGCTACTACCCTACTCCCTGCACCACGTGGTCGCCACCAGCTGCATCCGTGCCAAGAAGCACCTGGTCACCGCCAGCTACCTCAACGACAGGGTCAAAGCCCTCCACGACGAGTGAGTTTTCCTTTGAACCCCCTCCCCCCTCCAAGTGTGGTTTCGTGTCAATATTACCCCCCCCCCCACTCGTTCGCTATGTATATATAGGGCCGAAGCGGCGGGTGTGACGATCCTGAACGAGGTGGGCCTGGACCCGGGCATCGACCACTTGTTGGCCCTCGAGGTTTTCGACGACGTCCGCCAGGCCGGTGGCCGAATAGAGTCCTTTGTCTCCTGGTGCGGGGGACTACCGGCCCCCGAGAGCTCCTCCAACCCCCTGAGGTACAAGTTCAGCTGGTCGCCCCGGGGGGTCCTCCTGAACACCCTCTCGCCGGCCAAGTACTTCCACGGGGGCCAGGTGGTCGAGATAGCCGGTGGTGGTGACCTAATGTCGACCAGCATCCAGGACCTCGATTTTCTGCCCGGCTTCGCCCTCGAGGGCTTCCCGAACCGCGACAGCACGGTTTACAAGGAGCTTTACGGGCTACGGCACGCAAACACGGTGCTCAGGGGCACTCTGAGGTTCAGGGGTTACTCCGACACGGTGCAGGGCCTACAACTGCTTGGGCTCGTCGATCCCAACCCACAGCCGATTCTCCACCCCAATGGGCCTGAAATCACCTGGGTATGATCTATTTTTGGGAGACGGTGAGGAAAAAAAAAAAAAAAGACCTACATACATGCATTAATTGCAGCGCGGATTGGTCTGTAATTGCTTGGGCCTGGTGAGCGACAATATATTCTACGAGAACCTGAAGCAAAAACTGGTGGAGCGATTGGGCTCGGAGAGGCGGGCCCAGTCAATCGAGGAGCTGGGCCTGATGAACGAGGACCCGGTGCTCAAGCTCAACACGCCCCTGGACACTCTCAGCCACTACCTGTCGAGGAAGCTCGCGTACGAGAAGAACGAGCGCGACCTCGTGATATTGAGGCACGAGGTGGGCATACGCTGGCCGGATAACAAGCTCGAGGAGCGCGGCATCAACATGGTCAGTTACGGCGAGGTCGGGGGTCACTCGGCCATGGCCAAGGCCGTTGGGTACCCCACTGCCATTGCCGTCAAGATGATACTCGATGGTACACGCCATAGTGTTTGCTATACGTTGAAGCTTCATTGCGTTCCTACATATATTATATATATTTTGTTTTACCGTTGCAGGAGAGATCCAACAGCGCGGGACCGTGTTGCCCTTCGCCCCCGATATTTACAGGCCAATGTTGACGCGGCTGCGGGCCGAAAGCCTCGAATCCTTTGAAACGTCCAAGTGGCTTTGAAACCCCCAATTGAGGGTCATTGTCCACGGATTTTTTTTTGTTTTGTTCGTTGATACTTTTTATTTTTAATTATTCATCGTTTAATAAAGCGAGTTGTTTTTCCGTACGATTTTTGCGTTCGTTATTAAAATACATTATCTTTTCTCGTCGCACAAACTGCTGAAATTTAAAATGGAGAAAAAATATATTACAAGGGGTACGAGTTTTGGTATTAAAACCCTAGTATTTTTTGTATATTTTGTTATTTCTTAAGATCTGAATATTCCTTAACAATTATCTAATTTTTAAGTTCCGTTTCGATACTATCAAATAATTTTGTTGGCAAAAATTTAATAATTGTTGATGTCCTTTTATATGATTAGGCATCAAACATTTGAGGTTAGGTTTCGTTATATCATTTTGCCCGAAATAACAATATACACGCTAATAATAATATATGTATTTTTTTTAACTGTGTTGAGACAAAATCTATAAATGATTTTTTTCCTGACAAAAAAATCTCAAAAACTCGTTTTTGGAGGGAAAGGATTCCAAAAGGGTATCTTTATATCTTACGCATAGGGTATACAAAAAAAACACACTAGAGACAACATAGAGTAAATCGAATGTCATCAGTTAACATTTATTGATATTGCCACCACCTCGTCGTGTGTTGAAAACACACCCATTGCACATCTTTTCTCGTATGTGTGATGTTTTTTTAACCTATATAATATACGCGCGCTTAAATTATACATCATACGTAATATTTTACACACACCCGATCGCTCGCCTCCAGCAATAATAATATCGTACGCAAAACGCAGAATCGTCGCTTTTTTGATGATATTATATTTATAACACACTTTTCTCGCAAAAACAAATACGCATAGTTTTTTTTTTTTTTTTTTTTTTTTTTTTTAACTAATTTTTACGCACGTGGTAATGAGTGACCTTTTTTTTTATTGTAAAGATGCTGGAGGGTAGGCGTGGCTGAACTATTATATAAGTCGGTGATAAAACACACATGGTAAAACTGACGAGAGTAAAAGTGCTCTGGTACAATATAAAAAGCGGACTTCTCCCCGATGCTTTTTATCTCTTGGTTCTAAATAAAGCGCATAGTGTATAGTTAGGCGAAACGTGTTTTTTTCCTTTTCTTTTTTTTTTTCGATAAAAACGAGATATGGAGAGACGGTGGCAGAATTCTACTCGTACTCTTTACAGATTTTTATTTGGAAATAATCGTTACCTCATACAAAGTTTATTCAATAAACATTGCGCACAGTTTTCCCAACAGCACCAAACGTTTGGTACCGTAAGGGCTTTTTTTCATCTCGTATGATCGCAAAACTTTTTTTTCCTCAACAAGTTGTTTTTTATTCATTTATTCATTTTTTAAAATGTGGATATCAAGAACACACACGTGTAAGAAATCGATGCGCTCGTACAAATCTTCCTTTCTGGCAGTTGTGTGGGTTTTGCCAAATTTTCCGAAAAAACGTTTTCCAACATGACATTTATATTATACTTACGTAGGTGAACAGCATTTATGGCAGTAGCAAATTAGAAAAGTTGTTGAAATGTTTGATTAAGTCATGAGTTTTAAAGCTATTAAAATAATGTATTACGAACGAGTTGTCTAGTACGTATTGGATGTAGGTTGATTAAAAATTGTGTATATATGTCATTGATAATATTATAGAAAATTGTAAGATGACTAACGTGTGGTTGTACCGGATGAGGGGGGGGGGGCAAAAGCGACCGTTTTTTATTTCGCGTCATACACAATAGCATGACGTTGTTATGTTTACTTCTACGACTAATTTTTTTATTAATAATTGCCAAATGCATAAAATACTCACACGCACTGTCCTATAACCTCATCACATAATCATAGGATAGTACAAGGTAATCATTTTTTTTACTTTAAATTCTTAGAGTATCGCGATCGTATGATCGATCGCGTGACGAATTGACTAAAGTTATCTGTCTGAATCGGCTTTTTATTGACCGATGGGCTAGTTTGAAATTTTTCTTTCTGCAGTGACTTTAAGAGCCATGTACTCTTTATTTTAATATATGTATAGAGAAAGAGCTAGGACTGCTGTTATATTTTTGATTAATTATCTATGTCGGAAAAACCATCGAAAATTGTTTTTATTGTTACACGTATTTCCAAAAACACTACAACTCGGCTATCTCTGCTACTTTGTATTTTTTTATACCTCATTTACTGTGTGAAAAAAAAAAATGAAAAGGTAATTTGATTTTCTTATTTTAAAAGTAAAGGGTCGATTAACATATTTTTAGTAATTTATTCATCATTTTTAAAGCTTAAATTTTATTTAAAAATTGTCATTTGTTATTGTTGATTCGTTAGTTCATCAAAAAATTTAATAACTAATATAAAATTTGTACAGTGAGAACAAAATTTTTTGCATGTAGAAAAGTGTTTGTATGACGAGGTAATAAAGCCAGTTATTTTTTAACAAATAAAGTATGAATTGTACGACAAAGTACGATAGGTTTTTTTTTTTAATTATAATTGTCCTAAAAAAATTTTATCGTTAATTAATCGCAAGTGTGTTGTCCCAAAAATTTTGAAAAATTTATTAGGTGTATTTTTAAAAGTAGTAGAAAAATGCATTGTATAGCTGTTTCAAAATCTCAGTTATGTTTCAAGTTATAAAAAAAGGGAATACACGTTTTTGATGTTAGTTTTTTTTTATTGTTGCAAAAGTTTTAGTTGTTAATAAATTCTTTTTTTCCGAATAAGGAGTATGAATCCGTCAAATCAAGAACATTTTTAAGCATTCGAAGAACGAACAGTGATTTTTTTAGGCAACAGAAATGGTCGGTCTCACGCAACCTTCACAATAGCAGAAAAAAAGGCTTTCGAGATGGAAATCATGTTACAAGAAAGTGAAAGTGGTATGATAAAGGTCAAGGTCGAGCTCGACGTCAGAAAATCGCTAAGCACATTGTCTCTGTATGGGTATAAAACACATGCGTGGAAAAAGGAATGAGGGTTTGTTTTTTTTTTTTTTTTTTTTTTTTTTTTTTTATTTCTTTTTATCGAACATTTTACTTTCTTTGTCCTCGTAGAAATGAAAGGGTGTGTTTTTACGTTATTTTGATTAATCAAGGAAATTCCATGTGTTTAAATTTTATTTCTACAAAATTTGAAAGGAAAAAAATAGGTAACGTTAAAATTTGTCTTATCCCTCTATTTTTTTTTTTTTAAAGTTATATTTAGGTATTTAAGTAGATCTACAGTTTTAGCGAGAGTTTTAACTTTTGTGAAATATTTTTTTAAGATTTAGCCTTCACCGTTTGGAATACTTGTACACGCATATTTTATAACCACATATTTTCTGTGCTTGATTAGCTGAAAAATGCTCAACAAACAATAGAAATATTTATACTTCTTTGCAGAGATAATTAACAGGTTAACGTGTGCAGGTACTGATTGTAGTGATTGTGTGTGGCGCAACTCAAAAACTTATTAAAACAAAAGTAATTTAAATAAATGAATAATATCACCATATCACTTGGAAACTCGCTATAATTCAAGTACTCGCTTTTTTTAAAGAAATTTACACTGAAAAAAAACTTTGTCAACCCAAATAATCCTTTATATTAATAAANATTTTATGTGCTTAGCGTAATATTTATTTTTTTTTTTAAATAAATATTTTTTGTTTTTTATTCAAATAAATGTTTATTTGGATTGACAAATTTTTTTCAGTATACAATAAAACAAATAAAATAACGTAACTAACAAAATATTTGAGCAACCAAACAATTAACTAATACTAATGAATAAATAGTAACTCACTGAAACAAAACAAAATATTTGAAAATGAATATTATTTTGTGTATGTAGGTACATAAGTATACTTATTTTATGCGCAAGAGTTTGATCGAAACTGAACAATCAGATTCGTCGTCCAGGTAAACACAATCGCCGTGGCAACACACATTTGTTTATGTCACCATTTCTTTTACACTCAAACTAACCTGGAATATACGTATTTTTCTCTACTTATTTTAGTCCTAATATATTTTTTCTTTTCCAAAGTAAATTTGAAATTGAGTAATTGTCAAAGTGCCGTTACATCGTGAGTCAAACAATCATTAACGCGAAGTAGTAGAATGAATGAAGTTTATGTAGTTTTTTAAAAATTTGTTAAAAAGTAAGTATATTTACATTGCAATTATTATTACCAATTTATACTTATGTAACCCGAACACCAAAGTAAAAATCCACTCCTAACGATTTTTAGAAGATATTTATGCATCAATTAACAATTTATAGATTCGAATAATACAATAATATTAGACAAAAAAAAATTTACTTGTAAAACTTAATTAATTTAATTTCATTGTGTACGAATGATATACAAGAGATACAAAATTACAGCTACAACTGTAACTACACGAGAATAATTGTAACTACACGATTTAAAAAAATTTTTTTGTTTTTAATCTACTTTAATCAACTTTAGTGAAATGTGTATTACTTTTTTTATACAAATCAATTTTCGCTAGTACGAAATTTCATAATAACGTGCTTAATCGATTAGCTACCCTGACGATGAACTTCACAAAATTTATTCTACGAATTTTTATTTAATTATTTTTCACATACTATTCATAATATGATACGAATGGCTAGTGAACACGGCTAACCGTCTAAAAATTATGCGAAATTATGTAGCCTTAAATCTCATCGATTCAAGAGTCATGAGAGAATCCGTAGTTATTAAATTTTTTTTTTATATCTGAGCGATTGCTCTATAATTACAAACAACGTAATTAATTTATTACAACTATTTGAACGATAAAAAAATCGACTATTCACTGCCCTCTATGGAATTCGGCACACATACGAATGTGACAATACTCTGTACTGATTATTAGTCGATAACGATCACCTCCTACGAACTGCTGATAGTTTTTAATTTTTTCTTTTTTTTTTTAACATGGTTTTATATTTACGTGCGCATATTATTATACATGTATATTGTATTTTTCATGTATTAAAGTCTCGAAGATGATTCCTCGTGTTTCTCGAAATTTCTTAAGATTACGATCGGCGGCACGTTTTACTCTACGTATACGTTTGAACTGCTCTTTGCCCCTTTTTTTACGTGTGAACACGCTTCCTCTTCTCTTTCGTCCTTTTATGCATGTGATTTTTGAGTG